GGATTGACAATTCCTCTCCTGAAAAACTCCTCAAACACCCGCAAAAGATCATCTTTCAAAATATCCCAACAGTCCTGATAAAAAGCCATTGTGAACCCATCCGGCCCTGGAGCTTTTGTTCTATCCATAGAAAATACAGCCTCCTTAATCTATTCTAAACTAAAGCTTCTTTCCAACCATCTCCTGTTCTCCACCCCTACATCTGGCCAATCCAATCCTTCTACCCACACCCTTCTAYWCACAGGCCTTCTTAGAATAGATTTGAAGTGCTCCACACAGGCCCCGACAATCTCCTCTTGATGTACAAACTCAACTCCATCTACTACCAATTTGGAGATCAGGTTCTTCCTTCTCCTGTCATCTGCTAGAGAGTGGAAAGGTAGACAGATCAAAAAGCATGCTTACTTTTGCTGGCCTATTCCACTTACACCCCAATGATCAAGAATTTCCAATCCCACAACTCTATAGTAACAGAACAGGAAACTAGTAAATGATAATAGTCCTCACCATGAGACCTACAAAGAGCACCAATTAGGTGAGATACAAAGATAAGGTCTCCTTTTTTGTAGATTATCCAAGGTGTTTACTTTTCCATAGAACACTTCCCAACAAAATGCCAAAACCTTAGGAGGAATAGGCTTGCACCAAACCTCATTAAAAGGGAAAGCTTGTTGAGATGAATAATGACAAAGGGATTTAAAGAACAAGCAAAAAAACCAAAGGGCCAACATGTCCAAATCCTTTTGTTTGGTTCAAAGGTGTGCAAACTTTATCAAGAAGACTCAATAAATGGGTTAGACTCTCAATCTCCTCATCCCTTAACCCTCTATGGAACCCAAAATCCCAAATTGGTGCCATAGGAGTTTCCAAAGGGGAAAAGAATTTTGACAAAGGTTCTTTTTTATACTAAGAGACAGTGAACAAAGAAGGAAAAAGGTCTTTCAAAGGAGCCTCTTTAACCTAAGTATACTCCCCTAAAAGGATCGAATTACCATCACACACATCATACCTGACAAGGTTATGAAATTGAGGAAAATACTATGAATTTCCTTCCAAGGTGTTGCCAAAGTTGCCTATTAGATACTCTAGAATCCCACCCATTCTCTGAGTGACCATGAATACTTCCTACCACCTTATGCCATAATTCCTCTCTCTAGTGGCCACCTCCACAACCACTTCCCTAATAATGTTGTGTTCTTTTGCAATAGATTCCCTATTTGGCTATTCCCAACCCTCCTCTTTACTCTTACACACCACCTCCCACTTTATCAATATGATCCTTCCTACTTTTCCTTGGTTCCCAAAGGAAATCCCTCATCAATTTCTCTAGTTTCTTAGCTTCCTTAGAAGGAATCCTAAAGATATACATAAAGTAGGTTGGTAGGTTATCAAGGGTGGCTCTAATCAAAGTGATTCTACCCCTTAAAGAGATGTAACTCTTCTTCCAAGAAACCAATCTCTTTTCAAACTTCTCTACAACCGGGCTCCAAAAGCTACTCTCCCTAGGGTTTGCCGCTAATGGAAGTCCCAAGTAGATCATAGGCCAAGTAGATATAGAACAATCTAAGAATCCCACAATAGCCTTTACCTTTTGGTTTCCAAATTTACACTTTCCATACTACTCTTTTCAAGATTGACTCTCAAATTGGAAGTCCTTTCAAATCTTTTCACCAACATTAGTTTTCTCACCTTCTCAAGATCTCCCCCTTCACAAAGAATTAGTAAATGATCTACAAATTGAAGGTGGGTAACTAAAACTCCATCCCTACCTATTCTCCACCCATTTACTATATTCTCCCTATCAACCTTTAAGATCATTCTACTGAGCACATTAGCTATTAAAGTGAATAGGGAGGGTGAGAGAGGATCCCCTTGTCTTACACCCCTACAAGTTGTGAAGAAATCCTTACCACTCCATTAACCAAGATAAAGAAATGACAAGAATTGGCACAACCATGAATCTAGTTACACCACCTATCTCCAAAACCATAGTTTCTCAAGACTTGTGAAGGAACTACGAATTCACCAAATCATAGGGCTTTTCTAGACCTAGCTTACATACAAAGCCTTTCATTTTGGATTTTTTCATTTCCTCTAGGCACTCATCGACTATCAAGATTTGGTTTATAATTTGTCTCCCTTGTACAGACTCCTTGGGCTTGGCCGATTAAGGAGGGAAGAACTTCTTTAATCCTCAAGGACCTTAGCTAGGATTTTGTAGATACTAGTCACCAAGCCAATCGGCTTAAAGTCCTTGGGGTGAGTAGCATCAATCTTCTTAGGGATTAAGGCCAAGAAAGTGGCATTGACTCCCAAGCTCACTATGTTGTTATCTGCAAATTCTCTAAACACCTCACATAAATTATCTTTTAGTACATTCTAACAATCTTGGTAGAAGGCCATTGTAAACCCGTCTGGGCCTGATTCCTTAAATTTATCCATCAAAAACATTGCCCTTTTAATCTCCTCTTCTTCAAAGCTTCTTTCCAACTAGCTTGCTTTTTCCTCTCCCAAACTTGGCCACTCCAACCCTTCCGAAGGTAACCTCTCATTCAAAGGTCTTCCATAAAAGGATTTGAAGTGAATGACAAAGGTTCTAGCTATTTCCTTATAGTTAGTAATTACCTCCCCTTCTAATTCTAATTTGGCTACAAAAGTTTTTCCTTTGTCGTCCATTTGTCAAATCATGGAAAAAGTAAGCATTCCCATCACCTTCCTTAAACCATTGATGCCTTGATTTCTACTGCTAACAAATCTCCTCTCTTAGTAACACAACTTCCAATTCCTTTTTCAGCTGCCTTCTCAACTCTCTATCACGTTCATTCAACAACCCTCGTGATTCCAGATCTTCAATTTGAGTGATTAGATTCAAGTTTTGTTCCTCTACTCTAGCAAAATGATCTCTTTTTTTTATCAATAGCAAAATGATCTCTATAGTCTATTCCACTCCTTCAATTTGAATAATAGCAAAATGATCTCTAGTGGGAAGTCTTTATAAAGTCATAGCAAAAGTTTTAGTAGGGAGGCTAAAAAGAGTATTAGCTTAGGTTATCTCACAACATCAAGGTGCCTCTGTGAAACAGATTGTAGATCAGATATTGGTAGCAAATGAATGTGTAATAGAGAAGAGGAGAGGGAAGGGTTTGGTGTGTAAGTTGGACTTAAAGAAGGCCTATGACTTTGTGGACTAGTCTTTTCTTCTAGAAATTATAGGGAGAATTGGATTGGGGGATCAGTGGAGGATGTGGATGAAAGGTTGCTCAAGCTCAACACAGTACTCGCTCATGATTAATGGTGTGGCTAGAGATTACTTTCCAACGAAAAGATGTTTGAGACAAGGAGATCCCCTTTCTCCCTTTTCACTTTAATTGTTGATGTTCCAAGTAGGATGATCTTGGAGGATAACCAAAGCAACTTGTTTAAAGGATGGGGGATAGGAAGACTTGAGGTGATAGTTACACATTTGCAATTTGCAAATGACATCATATTCTATGAGGGAGGGAATCAAGAGAATATAAGAAATTTACTAGTGCTCATTAGTTCCATTGAATCCGTCTCCAAATTGAAGATAAATTGGGGAAGGAGTTGTATGGCAGGGATTAACTTGGAAGATGAAAGTAAGAAAGTGATAGCTAAGATTCTAGGTTCTGAGGTTAAGCAATGGCCATTGAAGTATTTAGGGCTACCATTCGGAGGGAATCCAAGATCAAGGTTTTTTGGAAGCCAATGGTGGAGAGGTTTACAAAGAAGTTGGCCCTGTGGAAGAGGAATTACTTATTTATAGGTGGGAGAATAACCCTAATTAGAGGAATCTTAGCAAACCTACTAGTCTGCTTCTTGTCCACCTTTAGAATTCCAACTAGGGTAGTAGGCAATTAGAGAAATTTATGAGGGATTTTTTCTAGGAGCCTGGGGAAAAATACAGACCACCTAGTAAAGTGAACAAGTTAGTAAAGCAAAGGAAAAGGGAGGTCTAGGATTAGGGAACCTAGTTCAAAGAAATACTTCTCTATTAGGAAAGTGGCTTTGGAGGTTTCCATTGGAAAGAAATGGGCTATGACACAAGGTTATAGAAAGCATTCATAGGCTGATGAACAATAGTTGGGATGCAAAGTAGCTCCTACATCAACCTCGAGCTCTCCATGGAAAGCAATACAAGAGGTATATCCGATCTTTATTAATCTCATTAGATTTGACGTGGGTTGTGGTTCTAGGGTACTCTTTTGGGAAGATCTTTGGTTGGACGATATTCCTTTTTGTTCTCTTTATTCAATATCTGACTACAAGTTACAACATATATCAAATTCTGTCACTTTTTCTCACTTTGGATTGAGTTGGGACTTTGGTTTTAGGAGAGAATTAAGGGATAATGAGTGTGAATCCCTTATTCATTTGCTAGACAAACTTAAGTCAGCCTTCTTGGTTCAATCTTTGGAGGACACTAGAATTTGGTCTACCTCATCTGATGGCATCTTTATCTATGCTTCTTTTTTCAATACTCTTGTGCAAACTCTTGTTGGGAGAGAGAATTTCTTGGTGAAAGAGATATGGAGTACGCTCATTCCACCAAAAATCCATGCTCTCTACAAGAAGGTTTTTCTTGGGAAGGTGAACGCTTGTGACATGCTTCAAAAGAGAAGGTCGAATAAATGCCTCCCCCATGTATATTCTCTTTGCTTTGCAAATGGTGAATCCCTACCCCATTTACTGATCCATTGCTTTTTTTGCTTTTTTTTTCTCCCTTAGGTTGCAGGTGAGGTACTCCCCAGGATGTACTAAGCTTGAACCCAAACTTTCTAAGGAAGCCAACAAAAATAGGAAGAGTTATGTGGAAATCAGTTAGGGCAGTAGTGGTATGAACTGTATAGGAGGAATGGAATGCAAGAATTTTCAACGAGAAGTATAGGTCAAATGAAGAACTAGTGGAGACTATACAGATAAAAGTTGCACACTAGGTAAAAACACTTTTATCTCTTTCAAAGCTTCTCAAGGACTGATATAACAATGACGTGGAGTGAAGTGGCACACTCTTCTGAGAAGAAAGAAAGAAAGGTGATGGAATGTGTTAATGGTTCGGTTAGCACTGGTTCAATTCTAGGGCAAAAGTAAGAATGAAAGAATAGAGAGGAAGAACAGAAAGAGAAGGAGAAGAGAATAAAGAGAAACAACTGAAGAGAAAAATCACACTCTCCTAGCCAACCAACTCCTTATTTATATGTTTTGAACTCAAGGTACAAAGACTCTTATGTCCCTAATTAAGTATGGGACACATAACTTAAACTGAGACAAACTAGACAAAGTAATTCTTAATAACAAAGCACAAAGATTAAAATACCCTCTTGATTGTTGACTCTAACACTCCCCCTCAAGCTGATGAGTATATGTCATATAATCCTAGCTTGTTACATATGTAATCCACTCTTCCCTAACTCAACCCTTTTGAAAACAAATTTGCCCAATGATTTTCTGAATTCACATGTGTTGTGCTTACCACTCTACTAAGCCCCTTTTTCTCTTACAAAGTGGAAATCAACCTCTATGTGCTTCATTCTTTCGTGGAAAACTGGATTAAATGAGATGTGAACTATAGCTTGGTTGTCACAGTATAACTTCATAGGGCTGTCAACTGAGTACCCAATCTCCTGCAAGAGATTCTTTAACCACACCAATTCACAAGCAATGTGTGCCATGGCTTCAGCTTCAACACTGCTCCTTGCTACTACAATTTGTTTCTTGCTCTTCCATGTCACCAGATTCCCTCCAAAAAAAAGTGTAATACCTTGTATTGGATCTTCTGTCAGATATTGAGTCAATCCAATCAGCATCTGTGTAACCTTCTATCTCAAAACTTCTTCCTGTCTTTGTATAACAAACCAAAACTTGGAGCCCCCTTCAAATATCGCACAATTCTTAGAAGTTAGAACTACATCCCAATGTGGAACTCGAGGATTTTGCATAAACCGACTTACCACACTAATTGCAAGTTATATATTTGGCGGAGTAATAGTCAAGTAGTTTAACTTACCCACTAATCTTTTGTACCTTCCAGGATCTTCAAATTCTTCACCTGCATCAATGGTTCATTTGACATTTAGCTCCATTGGTGTTTCAACTGCTTTGGCACCTAACAATCTCGTCTCCTCTAGCAAGTCAAGAACATCCTTTGGCACAAGTTGATACCATGCTTCGACCTTGCAACTTCTATTCCCAAGAAATACTTTAGTTTACCAGGATCTTTTGTTTGGAAGTGATCATGCAGAAATGCTTTCAATCCATCAATCTCTATACTATTATTTTTTATGAATGAAAATAATTTATTAAATCAGAATATAAGGCAATACAGGAAACCCATGAAGAGGCACGAGTTGTTACCTCTTCTAACAAAGTATTACATCA